TGTCTGAGATTGATTGCAAGCCGATCTAAAAGCTTCCTGAAGTACCTCGTTACCAGCGAGGAAATGACAGGGTGCATGTGCACCACAATGTAAAGAGGTTTGATGACTGATTGTCTGACATGCTCACACAACTGTACGAAATGGCGCATGTATGTAGGCAACGTAATGAGTTTTATCATTATGACAACAACAACAGCTTTATCCCACTGCGGAATAACACACTTAACCTACATTTGCCGTCTTCTGAAAGTATGCGTGGTTTAAACGTAACGGTGACGTAAGGGTCAGACCAGCTTTGTCAGCATCCAGCAGCTATAAACGCTTCAGTGTGACCATGATAATGTTACATGTGGCTCGATCCATAACCTGAATTACGAAAATGAACGTCTTATACCTCTATTCTATAATAGTAATGCCAAAGGTCCGTTCAACAAAGACATCTTTGCACTATGACGATCGTATCTGATATCTTTTGTAAATGGTTTACGAGGAGCGTAGGAGTTATATCTTCAACAATACGTACCTGCAGGGTTAGCTAGAGATATCCTTGTACTTGCCGCTCTAAAAATAGTCAGTTCGTTTTCTCCTATCAAATACAAGTTATAATTTAGGATGCAGAAAGGTTATAGTTTTCAACGAGTGAGTGAGTGAGTTTAGTTTTACGCCGCCCTTTACAATGTTCCAGCTATATGGAGGCAGTCTGTAAATAATCAAGTCTGGACCAGATTATCCAGTGATCAACACCATGAGCAATTGGGATACGATGTGTCAACCAAGTCAGCGAACCTGACCACCCGACCCCGTTAGTCGCCTCTTACGACAAGTATGGGCTACTGAAGATCTACTGAATTCTAACCTGAATATTCACGGGTAGTTGTCAACGAGGTTAATCCAGTTACTGAAGTTTAATCTGAGTCAATGTCTCTGTTTATGTCACAAGCAGAACTAGTGACAAGCGACCAGTACGGCATGACAAATCTACATCCGAGTACTACACAGATACACCATTTAAACCCTTTGACCATTTTTTCTGGTATTTCCTTATTCAGCTGTCATTTCTGACAGTTAAATAACAGTATAACAGCTTCCTGGACCGAAAATTAAGCTAGCCAGTCGTGCTACTTAGAATATTTGTACTAGTTGAACGAAAACAAAGCAGTGTCTGGCAAGTGTCATTTCATTCAACTCTTCCGACATTCGTAGCGCTATGGTAGTTATGTATAGCCGGATCCAAGGATCCGGGTCGACGCTAGGAATAGCCGTCCAATCCAACACACTCAAATCCGAGATAAATTATGAGGGACGTTACTGATAAGAGAAATGGAAATGATGACATCATATACCAACCGGAGCTATGGCAGCGAACCAATCGGCAAAATTCGACTCTTTCCGTAGCCTATTTTTTCATGGAATTTGCCAATCGGGCTCAGAGAGGTAACGAACTGGTACAGGTTATACATGGTGATAAGGTATCGGCTAGACCGGAACATACTTGTACAACTGTTTAAATCAAGTCTAAGCAACCCTGACCAGTGAAGGTCCGGGTGAGAATTGGTCTTCAGCAACCCATGATTGTTCTTACATAGCTGTAAGAACATCGGAGTGTGCAGTGTCCGAGTGAACCTGCATAATAACGAACCTCCTGATAAGCAACAGGACTGTGAAATGAGGGCCTAACCTGACTCCAACTTCGATCACTACACGCCCGAGCGCGCGAGAACACACAAACACATCACACACAATTCAATATTACACGTAGGTGACATGTCAACAAGAATCAAGGCTTCAAAATGCTAGTGAGAGGTGTTTTTAAACATCAGACAGTCAGTGATTTTGGTTTTTGCACATTGTATTGATCTTCCTCTAGTAGTTTCTTTGATTGAATGTTCAGAGGATTATAGAAATATTTTCGTTGTAAAACGAACCTCTGATATGTTTTGGAAAGATCAGACAGTCAATCATTTGGTTCTTGTACAGAGCATTGATCTTGCTTCAGTACCTGCTTTGATTGAACGTTCACTGGGCTATATAAATATTTATCATTGTAAAATGAACCCCCTGATTCCATCTGTCTCACCGTCGGTAAACCAGAGAAGGGGTGGAATTACCTACGCCTTTGGGACATCGTGAAGATGTTGCTTTGAAATTGAGATAGTACAAGAGTATTAACCTCAAGAATATTGCTTGGTGCTGTATGAGAAAAACTCTAATATATGACTGTTTTAACAAATTTTAAATGAAGTATTTAAAGTGCAGTTGTTTGATACAGATGATGAAATTATAATTTAACTAAAATTAACTGAAACCTTTACTGTCAGACACAATAGAGGTGATTGTGTTATGATTTTTAATATACACTTTTCAATGATTCGTTTACCACTGCACCTGTGAAGGTCCGGGGTAGAATTGATCTTCAGTAACCCATGCTTGTCGTAAGAAGCGACTAACGGATCGGGTGGTCAGGCTCGCTGACATGGCTGACACGTCAGCATATCCCAGTTGCGTAGATTGATGCTCATGATGTTGATCACTGGATTGTCTGGTCCAGACTCGATTATTGACAGACCACCGCCATATACTGGAATATTGCTGAGAGCGGCGTAAAACTAAACTCACTCACTCACACTCGTTCACCACGAGTGAGCTGTTCAATAAGGGAATGCATGTACATTCCGTTATCTTTCAATTCTGTGTAATGTCCATACGTTTGACATTAAAATATCACTGTTTGTATTTACATATTTTGCTCATCTCACCTCTCATTGCTGATAAATCAACTGCATGTTTACACACGAGACTATATCATGAACATTTATGAACTTTGACTCCCTTCCTTCCTTCCATTCAAGAGCTCAATTAAGATTTCAAAAGGTGTTGAGAGGCCATTTCTAAATAAGAAGCGTCAGTGATGTTTGAGTGGTTCGTAAGGTTACGACCTGTCGTAACTCTATAGTTTATCATAGGCAAATGAATGTTGTAGCGCTAAGAACGCTTTGTGGATCGGGACCCTGTTCTTGAATTTGACTCGTAACATATGTTCCCTTTTTCCTGGTGAACAGTTGACGTGCCTTTGCATGTGTTGGTGACGAGAACTTCTAAACAGGAGGATGCGCTCCCATCTTCGCGAATACCTGGCATTATCAGTGTTTGTATGTTCATGATACAGTCGGAATCGTATGATCGACTCAGCATTTAGAGGAGTTTTCTTGAGGCTGTGGAAAACGGTTTTATCTCTGTTAGATAACGATGCATCAACTGGGGATTCAGTAAAGAAAGTAGGATGTTGTACAAATTAAGATGAGACATTTCATCCATAACTGCATTCGGATTCTGGATCAGATTGGAAAGAACAACAATTTTAATACAAAGAACATCCTACGATTAAAACAATATCATAATCATGTGTTTATCAAGTGCTATCACACAGCGTGGTGTCCGACCGCCACAAAAAAGTACTTTTCTTCACGTTTACCAAATCCGGTATAAATGTAATCTCGATTTTAAATCCAAAAGTGTTGAGAGACTTGACAAAGATTTAGCAAAGCTTCCCATTTTTTAAAACGTGCTTTCATTTGCTGCGCTTGTCATGACGATCGCCATTGTCATCATCTGTCTATTGGTAAAATACTGTGATATAGTGAGTGAGTAGTTTTACGCAGCTTTTAGCAATATTCCGGCAATGTCACGTCGGGGTACCCCAGAAATGAGCTTCACACATTGTACTCCAACCCACTTCCCCACCCCACCTGTGATACAGATGAAACAGAGAAGAACACGTAGAACGAAACGTTAGTTTCACGATATTGAATAAGGACATTGGATTTGTCTGGAAATTGTAGGAACGATATCAAATGATATTTTACATACGTCATGACTAATGTTTGACATCATGTTAAACTATTTACGTCAATGGTCTGACCGGAAAATGAGATCTTTTCTCGATATCGATACAGTAGTGAGACTCCCTACGCAACCTAAACAGGATATTTACAATTTTGAAAACGACAAGTTCACAGAAGACACCCTGAGAAATCTTTCCATTAAACTATGTCAGCAATGCCCTTCCGGGTTAGAATTGATCTTCAGTAAGCCATGCTTGTCGTAAGATGCGACTAACTGGGTCGGGTGGTCAGGCTCGCTGATTAGGTTGACACATGTCATTGTATCCCAATTGCGTTGATCGATGTTTATGCTGTTGATCATTGGATTGTCTGGTCCAGATCCCATTATTTTCAAACCGCCGCCATGTAACTGGGATATTGCTGAGTGCGGTGTAAAACTAAACTCACTCACTCACTTCAACACCTAGTTTCAGTTAAAACTAAATATCAGTGCTAAGGGGCATTCATACTTGTATGTTTGTTTGATGAGTAGAAACAAACAGAAAGAAGATGTATTTCACGAATCATTACGTTTCACAGCGGTATGAACGGATCTTCACAAGACGAGGCGAGGTGACGTGTTCTGTCTTACACCATGACGTTAAGGCTATTTATTATACAGTTGGCCGAAGAACATGTCCAACTGACGGCTGTTGAACCAAGTAGATACGGGTTAGTGCACATTAAAAGCTTGGGTCTTTCTTTGGTTACTGTATACAGTAGACTCTTTAAAGTCAGACATGTGTATGACCATGTGGTCCTTGAACTCAGTGGCAAGAAATGGGCAATATGGCAGATTCGAAAACAACATCTATGATTACGCAGCGAAAATAAGGTAGTTTCCAGCTACAGTAACACGAATTAGCACAATGCTATTTTCAGATACCCGATAAGATGTGTGAAACTTTAAACCAGATTAGGTAGCATTAATAACACGATCAAATAGGCATTACTTCCTCAATTTTAGTAATGAATGCAAACAGAGTTTACATAAAATATGAACGTATAGTTAATTCGGAAACGTAAGTTTGCTCTTGACACAGATCCGGATTCGTCATATGCCGATTTTGACAATTCCACTGTCCCACGATAAACACAATACTGTGTATCAGTAAACGATTAAACGTTAAACGTTAAAGTGGTCGTCCTGTCTTCTGAAAATAGAGACAGCTATATATATATATATATATTGATTATATATACTGTATTATATATATATATATATATATATATATATATATATATATATTCTATATAATATATAGATAGAATATATATATATACTACTTCAACTAAAGCGTCATATTTACGTGATATTAAAAAATGAAGATACTGACTTAAATGACGATTGGTTTGTTTGTTTGTTGTTTAAAGCAGCACACAGCAGTATTACATCTAGTCTGTAAATAACCGAGTCTGCAACAGACAATCCAGTGATCGACAGCATGAGCATCTAATTACGCAACTGGGATACGATGACGCGTGTCAACCAGCCTGATCACCCGATCCCGTTAGTCGCCTCTTACGACAAGCATGGGTTGCTGAAAAAACATTGTAAACCGGATCTTCACGGGTCCAAATGGCGTGAAACTAACGATGCGTTGTAACTGTCCTCTGACCCGATGTTTATGACTGTTATCAGTCAACAACGATGTGTCACTACACTACACCACACCACACCACACCACACCACACCACACCACACCACACCACACCACACCACACCACACCACACCACACCACACCACACCACACCACACCGCCTCCGTGGTGTAGTGGTTAGAGCGTCCGCCCGGAGAGCGGAAGTTCGCGGGTTCGATGCCCGACCGCGTCATACCAAAAGACGTTAAAATATGGTACTTGTTGGTCCCTGCCTGGCGTTCGGCATTAATGGGTACAACAAGGACTGGTCGGCTCGGAGTCAGTATAATGTGTCTGAGTGGGGTATTCATGCTTCACTGCGGCATGGTAGTGCGCTAGCACTATAAAACCAGCTTAAGTCTGTGCTAGTACAAGCAGCCGCACATACACATACACACGCATGCACATCGTCATATGAGCGAAATATTCTCAAGCACGACGTTAAACCCAATTTCACCTCACCTCACCTCAGCACACCACACTACTCCACACCACACCACTCCACACACCACATTACACTACTCCACACCACCTCACACCACACTACACAACACTCACACATCACCTCACACACACCACACTACTCCACACCACACTACACTACACCACACCACACCAGGCTACACCACACTACACCACACTACACTACACACACACCACACTACACTACACCACACTACACCACACTACAACACAACACACTACACACCACACTACACCACACCACACCACACCACACCACACCACACCACACTACACTACACTACACTACACTACACTACACTACACTACACTACACTACACTACACAACACTACACTACACCACACCACACCACACGTAATGACAGCAATCTGTATCAGATCAATCATCAGTATACATTTATGGTGTTTTGCTTTCTTTTCTTCAAAACAGTTGCTGCGGGCATTATGCCAAAATTCAAAAGACGGTTGGATTGGTTGGTTGGTGGTAACAAGCAAACGTTTAGTCATCGTTAACATATTTAACATAATATCGTATAAATCTCTAATTTATCAACTCAATCGAAGAAACCTTCCTGGAAACGTTGAACATGTTTAACGTTGGCCGGTCAAACATTGAGCTTTTGTCTCATCTCACACGTTTTATATACAACGAAAACACTCAAATTATCATTAAACAAATCAGAATGTTTTGATATTTTGCAACTACAATGCCGTTAGAAGCTGCTGGATGTTACATTCTGAAAAATCGTCGAAAGTACAAGTCATTTGATAATGACACTTTGTCTGCAGGTGAGCTAAAATGTTCTCAACTCCGCTCAGACCCTCGAGTCCATACAGGGAACAGGTCTAGTGAAACTGCATAATTATAACTACAAAATAATAAATTCAGCTCATTTGATAACTAAAACTAAAAAATGAACTAAAAACAAAGCATTTTTGCATTGTCTTTTAAAAATTCTGTCGAAAACATCTCTGCAAAAACTTGATGTGGCGCAGTCGAATTACACACCAAATCTGACCATGTGCTTGAAGACAGACTCCTTCAAAGGAAATAGCATAGTGCGGAGGATATCGATTTAATCCTTTTCCTGTTTCTATTTTTCTGCATTTTCTCTCCAAGGATTACTTTGAGACATCAGACGGTTTTCTGCAGGTGGGCACAATTTCTTGTTTCTCTTTGAAGTTTTGACATCAGCTTAACAGTATATCATTTCAAAAGTTAAAAGAAGAAGTTCGATTTTGCATGTTAAGGCAGAAGACTACTATGATAGTGACATTTAGTATCAATGCGATATATGACTTCGGACTGGAGTTTGACATACTGTGTTTCGATATTTCGTCATGATGACGTTTACGATCCACGCCGTCAAAGTGCGATTGGACGTACTTTTGACACCAGAGTCCCGTTTCACAAAGCGATCGTAGCGCTACGACTGTCTTAAGTATACGTTAAACAATATGAGTTACGACGGTCGTAACGCTACGACTGTCGAAAGAATATGTTAAACTATGAGTTATGGCGGTCGTTAAGTTAGGATCGCTTTGTGAAACGGGTCGCTGGGCCGTTCTGTTTGTAATATTGACACCGGGGCCGTTGTTCTGACTTCTGGTACAGCCATATTTAATGGAATACGTAAGTGCATTGACGTAGACCACTGTCATACCGACGTGATACGTCATGGTCGTTGTATCGAAGTAAACAATTCGCTTTGCCGTACTGATGGTAGATCAGCGCCGACGAGGTATTTTTTTTCTGACTGAATAGCTGTAATATAATCGTAATACATTATACTGCAAGGCTGCAGAATAGAGACTCACTTATGTCAACAGATGTATGGCTTTCGCGTTGTCACACTGACGTCAGCCGTCATAAAGGCACAACAGACCCGCCGTTACAATGTTGTTAAACAATAGTGTCGTCTTACTGACGTACGACGTTCACGCTCTTATACTGACGCTCTTATAACACCCGCCGTCAAACTGGGATTTTTACCTCTGCATAGTTAATGCTGATGTTAGACACCTGAGTAATTACATTGACAAAAGACGTCAACGCCGCCGCAATGACGGTATAGAAACGCTCACTGATAATGTCACATAAAACTACACCGGGCTATATTTAAGCAAGTATATATAAATGAATACCGCCATGGCCTCTTGAATCATGACAAGACGTCACAACACATGCTTATTTTGTATAATCACGGTCATATTCCAATCCTCATGCCGGGAATCTATGTCACATAGCTGTTAACAAGGATTCAGTGTGAAGAAAATCGACTGCAAACAAGTTATATGCGTTTGTCCATGTATCGTTCGAAATATTAATGTCTGTCCAGACATAAAGTGTGGTTCAGTGGCTAATCAGATTACTGAGTGAGTGAGTGAGTATGGTTTTTCGCCGTTTTTAGCAATATTCCAACAACATCACAGCGGTGGACACCCGAAATGGGCTTCACACATTGTATCTATTTGGGGAATTGAACCCGGGACTTTGGCGTGACGAGCAAACACTTTAACCACTAGACTACCCCACCGCCTCTCAGATTACTAATCAGCGACATGCTAACATAGAGTACTTTATGAATGAAGAGCGATCCGCGTAGTACATTAGCGTATTAGATGTATAGGGACTTAGATATTACAGGCATATGATGTGGCTGGATTTACAAGGGGCGGTGGGGTAGCCTAGTGGTTAAAGCGTTTGCTCGTCACGCTGAAGACCCGGGTTCGATTACCCACAATGGTACAATGTGTGAAGCCCATTTCTGGTGTTCCCCGACGTAATATTGCTGGAATATTGCTGCAAGCGGCGTTAAACCATACTCTGTAAGTAAGAAAGAAAAGTAGTATTGAACAGTGGTGGCATTGCTAAAAGCAGCGTAAAACTAAACTCACTTACTCTTTAACTTGTTTTGAGATATGATTCATATGATATGCATTATCCCATTATACTTTCACCAATCAAACCCCATTATCCTTCCACTAATCAATAAAAGTAGCTAACCCCGTTTTTTCAGTCAACAAAACCATGCCTCATGTTACTTCATAATGCACTTTAAGTAATGAAAGTATGGAAAGGGACGCCCGGCATCTGGGTCGAAGGCCATGCAGGATAAAGTCTGTCAAGATCACATCAGACTCCCAGGGATGAACATATTCTGGGATGCTTTAATTAAGCATGAAGGGCCCCTGTAGTTAAATCACGCAATCGATAAAGATTCATCTCTGTTTAATGATGTAACTCCACGAGACGCAATTCACACTTGATCTATGCAGGGGACCAGCTGAAATTTGTACCTTCCTTTCCAGTTTATACTTGGTAATGACCTTGGATGGCCAAGCCTGAGATCGATTTGGGGCTGATATGTTTACAGAATTTACAGATACATTAGAGTTAGGAGAAAAAGGCACTTACTGTAGTCTAGTTACAGAAGATGTGTGTATTTACTCTGGTGATTTCCTGCGGGATTGGGAGTGGCTGTTTGTCAAACGTAAAAGTGCCACTAGATGGGCGATATATTGGGACGTTGCCTCGTATGTATAATTAATTTTGTTATTCGAGAAACATATTTGTGAGTTCCGCGTATCGTTTTGCTAATGAAGTTAATTTGCTTCTTGTTTGGTCTGAAGTGATTGCACGTAGATATACAGAAATACACTGTATAGATAGAAAATGGAGTATAAATTAACAATTAAAAAGTATGGAAATAAACCACAGAAAGAATATTTTGATTAGATAACATTTTCGTTAACAGGTTGTTTTTTTGTAACCTGTGGGCATGATATGTCATGTTAAATAAAAACTTCAAAGAAATAAACTATCAAAGGAAGTATAATTTGATTAAAAAACATTTCCATTAATAGATTTTTGTAACCTGTTGGCATGGCACGTCACGTCAAATTATCATGACGAGCATTCCTTAGTTTACTCAGACCTCTCGTCAGCTTCTCCTTGATGTGTTTCCTCCTGTGCCGGAGTACTGCGAGTTCCGTTTCGATCTTGTAGATAGTCTTTAGCACCTGGAGTCGCACCTACAACACAGCAGCGTAAGAAATCACGACCTTAGCTTCATGTGGGCCAGCGGTTAATTAAAATTGCTTCAAATCGCAGTAAGCAATACCGCTGTTATGTTAAAATCGAATCAGGAGCAAACAAGCTGTCGTCGGAAAGCAAGATTTGTGTTTGTTTGTTGTTTAACGCCGCACTCAGCAATATTCAAGCTATATGGAGGCGGTCTGTAAATAATCAAGTCTGGACCAGATTATCCAGTGATCAACACCATGAGCATCATTCTACGCGATTTGGATACGATGTGTCAACCAAGTCAGCGAGCCCGACAACCTGATCCCGTTAGTCGCCTTTTACGACAAACATGGGTTGCTGGAGACCAATTCTAATCCGCATATTCACGGGTCCGAATGCATGAACTGATTCTTAATGGGCATTGTGGCCGGTGGTCTTTGTTATCTGCTTTCACGTTGTGGTGATTGTGATAATAACCCTTCAATTTGTGGGCTAAATTTCATTTTCTATGAGATTGAAATTGCAAGGATTCGCTACGTTAAAACACCCTGTTTGTCAAAATTAGGTGACACGAATTTCAATAATTGCACAGCATCATACTGAAGAAGCCTTGAAATTTCACAGCCAAATGGGTCCTTAGTAACTATTTGAAACAGTCTATCGTAAGTGGAAAACAACCAAGCTTTCATTTCTGAGGACTGTCATGAAACCTTTGCAAACATAAGTCACCGTTGATCTGGCATGAAACCTTTGCAAACATAAGCCACCGTTGATCTGGCACTTATGGTCTAGAAGAACACTTGTCTGACGATGCTGTACTGCATATGTCATCGATCGAGAGATAAAATGTAATAATGTAATAAAACATGCTTACAGGTGTATTACGAAACACTGCATACGACCTTAAAACGTATTTGCTGCAATATATATAACATATATACATGCATTTGTGCATGATTTGTTGAAATAGTTCATAATCTAGCTATTTGAAAAGAAATATATCTTATGTCATATTCCTCAATAAATTTGGACAATTACCCAAGAACGTCATGTTGGAATCTTATCCCACACTCAGCGGCAGTGTCAATGAAAAACTGTTCAAGTGATATAGGACGGTTTAACCAACTCAGTCGAAGAAACAAATCTAATTTACAAATGTCAGTTTCTGTCTCCAGTTCACTTTGTTTAATCTGCTACCTGTTCCTTTCTCCTGTTTTCTCTGACTCTGGTTGTCTGAGCAATGTTCTTCTCTGGTGATGAAGGGATGAAGTCATACGCATCCCTCATCCTCCCTGGAGGCCAGTCAGCATCTCTATAGACGTAATCATCCTGATTTACCAAAACAATCTGATCCGTTTCCCTGTGTGACTTCTTTAAATCGTTTTTCTTTGGTGAATGTCCTGATTTTGTACAATGTGTGTACGTCTTGAAATACTTGTCAAGGACAGTCTTGGTTCTGACTGTGTCCTTGGTAACATGTTTTGGTCTCTTAGCTGTGACGTCTTTGGAAGCCAAAGCCGCCTGTTTTCTTTTCTTCATAGCTGCTTGTGGTAAAGAGTTCCTGACACTGTGTAATTTCTCTCTATATCCTGGCTTGTTATTTCCTCCGATAGCATCGACAGCTGCGGAGCTGTTTGAAAACCCTTTCCCTGCATCATGACAACAATGAGCCTTTTGGCTTATATTATCCATGCAAGTTATTGCCACATCGACTCCTGAATGCGTATCGGTTTCCCCAGACAGAACCGTTTCGGCAAGACTCCCAATCCCTCCTCCATCAGGAGATGAAGTCACCCGAGACACATTTCCTTTACTCTGTTCCATGCTTTGTCGATACGTAATAGGTTTGGGGATCGTTTGTTTCTTTATCAGATGACCATTATCAAGCTTTATGCTAAAACCTGCCTTGCTGCCACGTCTTCCCGACGATTTTTTTCTGATAGCCTGCAGGTCGTCGACGGTGATGCCGGGAGTGGACACCTGTGAACACGTCATTGTGAAGCTGGGGTCGTAGCTTGAATGGGGTCCGGACAATGAGACCATGTTGCTGGTGGCGATATCGAGGTAGATGTGGGCGCTCTGTATGGCGTCTTAAACTGAGAAGACTGAGGGGTCTTCGGAAGCATATTTCTGTAATATAAGAATGAGTGAGTGAGTGAGTGAGTTTAGTTTTACGCCGCACTCAGCAATATTCCAGCTATATGGCGGCGGTCTGTAAATAATCGAGTCTGGACCAGACAATCCAGGGATCAACAGCATGAACATCGATCTACGCAATTGGCTCGAATATAAGAAGGCATAATAATTTATTGAATTAAATTTTAACAAATAGACGCCAAAGATAACTAAAAATGGTAGTGATAAAGATTAAATACTCGGTTAATAAATTGAGTCGTCTTACTAAGGAATTTAAAACTAAATTCATGACACATACAATCAAACTTTAAGCTACGGTGATATGCTATCTGACCCAGAGTGACCAGACATTCTTGGGTCAAAGTACGTATTTGCCGTCAGTATTGCTGCTCAAACTCGATACTCGATACTCGAACAAAGCCAGGCAATCTACAATATCAGCAAATATTGTTGGCAAGGTCGAATTTCTAACCAGGACTACAGCTAGTAATGTTCCCACCTAATAAACAGAGAAAACAAAGTAACCGTGGTGTGAAAAATGATGCTAACATGTATATATAAGGGACTGTCGAAACAAATACCTGCGCCGATGAAAAATCCAGAAGGCAACAGACATGTGATCTTAACCGGAATTAATATATGTATATTATTATCTTTATGAAATTTAACCTTGACGTCAACGCGTTGACTCCCTTGATCGATGTGTATCGCTTGGTATGTACTCACTCACTGACAAATTCAAGCGACGTAGCCTTAGAGAATCTAGGATTCGAAAGCTTGGTCATAGAACTCTGGCGCGCCTTAGAGGCAAACGAGAATTTAGAGAAGACATTATAAGAAAAGGAGCCAAGCGAACAAGGATAACTCCATCATCATCCCTCCCCGTTATTCCCCAAATGGAACCAAGGAGCCTACTCGTGATGTCTTCCGATTCATGCTGTGGCATAAATTGTTTGAAACAGTCGTTAATAAAAGCTCGTTACCTGAAACAGATTACATGATGTGATTTTAACAAACTTACATCTTAACCTTCTCTTTTTCTTTTGTTTGAAATAGCTCAATCAGTTCCCGCGTCTTTGTTTGCTTTCAGAGCCTCTTAATGCCGCAGTGTATACGTTCAAAGAAAGGAAAGGTTTACTTGTTCTCAATGTATTTCTCAGTCACCGTCTGACGTCAATGCTGACCTACACTGCTCTAGGTTACGTTGACATGACCTTCACCTTTTGGACTTGGTACGTGTTTCAACCGGTATCAATTACATTCTGTACACGCATGAGTGTTTCAAAATATTGCAGTTCTCATCTTCCAACTGCATATCAATGGAAGTCACATTTGTGCCATAGACATTATTTTCATCCAAGGGCTAATGCTGAATGGGTTAAATTCGTTGAAACAGAATAAGAACAAAATTAATTCGCTGTGTGATTTACCTGTTTACGTGTATCATTAAAAACAAGTATGTAAGTCAATACCAGCTTAGGGCAGTGCGCGGCTGCCTGACTTCAAGATGTGGTTCTACAAGATCAATATGGCAGAGTCCTTGTCAAATACCCTAACAAAGGTTAATGACGGGGCATGCGTGTAACATTTCACTGAAATCACCATGTCTTGTCAACGTTTACACCCAAAACCTCAACCTTCACAGACGTCCGTCTCCTACACCTGTTAAACTGACAAGCCATTGTCGTAGGGAATATAGCCAGGCGACACAACCAGATTTGGTTCGCCCATAGCCTGCCACTGCTACTGTGCACGTATTGTCTCTGTGGGAGTTAATGTCATAACATCAACCTGCCACGAATATGTATGAGATGGACTGTGTTGTTCTGCAAACAACGAGTGTTTGAAGAGCACAGTGGTTATATTGTGAATATTTTTAATTATACTGTTAATATTTTATGATACTCATATTCAACTCGATGCTTATATTTCAATTAGTTTAAAGGGAATACAGTTATATCTAAATACAGAAAACTACGTTGTGTAACGAACTACGGTTATAACGAACTCAAGTTGGTGGTCCCTTTGAGTTCGTTTTAACCGTCGTTTACTGTAAATGGAAAGATATTCATCGGATTCAAATTTTTAAAGAAAAGCACCGCGTAGGTTTCAGGGAATGCTGTGGTTACTTTGGTACAATCGTACAAATACATCGTTTAAAAACAGTGACTGGTCCGATAATGCCTGGATGTACATGTATATTCTGTCATCAAACGATAAGAAATAGCGAGTGGAGTTGAGCACAGGAACGTTACGAAGGTTACGAAGGTTACGGAGATATTTTCGTTCGTTTGGAAACGCATCACTGAAGAGTCAATAAACCTGATACTGCTTCATCAAATGTCCATCACATTTAAGGTGCCTGCTGTCAATTGACCATTAAAGGAACACGGAACAGCATGTGAGCTTTGCGAGTAGCGTTACTTGGAGCTACTTAATGCTGTTCCTGGCCACACGGAGTATTTGGAGCATGTTTGGAATACACCTGCATTAAAGCAAAGGTCGGAATGATAATCTCAAATGATAGTACATGTATATATCTTTGAGCGAGTGAGTGAGTGAGTGAGTGCCAGTTATATAATAGCGTGGAATACCGTACATTAAAAGCATGGAAAGTTACTCAGATCTAAGACGCTTCCACTTTTGTGATACCCACGATCGCGGGTATGACATCTACACATCTAATCGGCGCCAACTGGGAGTCGAACCCAGAATACCTTTATGTGTGGCTTGCCAAAGGGACGAAACTCTGCACAGATAGCTGATGTGCCCGTTCCACCCATTTTAAGTGAAATAGCATTCCGTTTTAGCTATGAAACACACGACTTCACACAATATATAATCGTCATCCTTGTTTACATACACAAGCACGTCATAACCAACATAGAAGGTTAAAATATCACCAAACAAACAATCTCACATAAAAAGAGGCGTGAAACTGTTTGTTGTGGACTGGTATTTGCACACCGGATTCCGTAACTAGGCCATTTACGTGCATAGTGACTGGAGGTCAGATGCTGCTGCTGTTATCGTGTATTGCTGCGCCACCCAGCCAATGAAAGACACCAGCTTGTCTGGTAGAGATATCAGGAACCAGACCAATGTATTGAGTATCGCCGTGCTGCTAATTACCCGGAATGGTGAATATGTGCTTGGTAAGGGACCAGCTAGATCATTAAATAATGCAATTTGTTCCAGAATGTACGAAAAAGAATATTTCAGTGCAAACCCGAAGTGATTACACTAAATGAAAATGAATGAATGAATGAATGAATGGATGAATGAATGAATGAATGAATGAATGAATGAATGGATGAATGAATGAATGAATGAATGAATGAATGAATGAATGAATGAATGAATGAATGCTGGACATATTGGGTGACCTGTAAAATTATATCGAGTTAACGTCTTCGGTTACTTTCTATTCATTGAAAATTGTATTTGTTTGCTTGTTGTGTAACACCACACTCAACACTATTCCAACTAAAGGACGGTCTGTAAATAATTCAGCCTGGAACAGACAATCCAGTGCTTCACATCATGCTCGTCGATTTAAGGGTACGACGGCATGCGTCAACCAGCAAGAATGATCACCCGATCCTGTTAGTCGCCTCTAACGGCAAGCATGGGTTGCTGAAGACCAGTTCTAACCCGGATCTTCACGGAGTCACAGAAAAGAATCACACATCAAGATGCAACTGACATAAACATGTTTGCCAGACCCACCCCAAGATATATAAAGTAGTATGAAGTTAGTTCAGCAAAGCATCTACAAATGTAACCAGCCTATCAGTTTTGCGGTCATGGCCATGCCCTGTTTGTATTTATTTTTCAGTTTGAAAACATGTTTACTGAAGATGGTGGTTTACGATACGCCGGTTTGTTTTTGTTTAATTCTTCATATCGCGATATGGTGATGTTCAGTGTTCGTCATGTACAGGGAACAGTAACCTGTTTGCACACAGGCTTCAGTACACAACATATCAAACAAACAAGTTGTACTGTGAAGGCTGGCATGCAGGAAAACAACATCCATGTTAATCTATGGAGACCTGGTTAATGTTGCTGAACGATGGATACACACCATCAGTGTGGGTGAGTTCTATACTTGGTGCACATACAATGAACATTTAGATTTCAAGCACATGACTATTCTGAGCTGTATACATCGAGTGAGTGAGTGAGTTTAGTTTTACACCGCATTTAGCAATATTCCAGCAATATCACGACGGGGGTCACAAGCAATGGGCTTCACATATTGTGGGGAATCGAACCGGGTCTGTCTTCAGCGTGATGAGCGAAACTTCAACCACTAGGCTACCCCACCGCCCCTTTGTATGCATAAAACCGAACATAACTGCTAACAATATAGCCGAATCAGATAAACATCGGTCCAATGGCCTTGTGTCACCACAACACAGTCTTGACGTATATACAGCTATGACAGCATTTAAAGTGGAAGCTATATCAGTGTGTGCATATTTCCAGCGATTCTCTCAAAGAAAATCAGAGGCATTACAATACCACTGCGTAAAATTCATCTAAACATAAGGCTACCGTGTTGATGTGCATTGTAGAAATATAACGATTACAGACGCTAATTATTTGACAGAAAAAGACAGGAACTGTTGATTTAAAGGACGGAAAACTTGCGGCCGAATTACCGTCAGTTTTGGAACTGCTCCCTAAGGAGGCACAAACCGCCAACTGTAATATATATTACAAAATTATAGCCATTTTATTTACTACATACCACTGTGGTCCCCACTCGTTTTCAAGTAATGATGAAGTGTCAGATTCTCATGAATCATTTCGGGTATCGTATTTCCACCTTACAGTAGTAGTAGTGAGGTGAGATGAGGTGAATTGGGTTTAACGTCGTCCTTGAAAATATTTCGCTCCTATGACGACGTGCATGCGTGTGTATGTGTATGTGCGGCTGCTTGTACTAGCCCAGACTGAAGCTGGTTTTATAGTGCTAGCCCACT